AGTAGATGAAATCAATAATTTCTCTAGAATGCAAGCAAGGACTTAAAATTTCCCTTCTTCTCGAAGAGCTGTTGCTTGAAAAAGGATATATTTATTTACTATTCCTCCTCTAGGTTTTAAGTACTTCTATTATAAACCATAAAGTTGTTGGTGGAATCTTTTATCAGTGTTCTCTAAGCTCGCACAGGAAGTTTCTACTTTTATACATATGTGTGTTCATATATACAGCACTGGAATTTGTTTTACGTAAATTATCATCCCCTTTTGTGTAAGGACAGCGTTTGCTTCTGTTTGGTTTATTTAAGGGTAACAGCTATAGGTCCCTCCAGAATTCTGAGAATTCATCTCTACCATTTATTTTTCATCATGGGCCAACTCTCTTCTTGAGTAAGTGAGGCTAATAAGGTTACACTGTACTACTCTGTTCATTTTAAGCAGCCAAGATGGAGAAGCTCTGTTCAATCATAGATGTTACTCTGACTGTGACTGTTATCCCGCCTAACAAACAGTGTATCAGAAAATGGCAACAGCACCTAATTAAATTCTTATCTGTTCTTTGACTGGGTTGTGAATTACTCTACAGTACGCAAATTGCATGTTGATAAGGCCCTGGAGTTCTGAATTTTGCTTCGCCTATGTACTTTTCAACGGGAAGATAATGCAGAGACATGTCTTATTTTTAATCTTTAATTTTCAGAAATGGGATTAAAAATAAAATGGTTATCACCATTTGCATGAAGGGAAAAATGTCTCATTTATAGTGCCCCCTTCCCTAAGTCAAGGAGCCAAAGGTAGGTTGTGAGACTGTGTTCCGGGCACTAACAAGAAGGAGTTAAGATTGGGCCATTTCCTATTTTCATTACAGTTTTTATAATGAGAATGAATTAATGAGCCATTATTCTCTGCTCACTAAAGGCTTTCTTCACTACAATTAGAATAGAAAGATTTTTTATGATCTTTCTACTTACAAATAGTAATCTGTCTTTCTCTGACCTTTTTGGCAGTCTGTTTTGGCTGACGTGTCATAGCACCCCTTGTTCCAGACCTGCAAGGAAAGTGGTAGGGTTGATGAGCCACGGCAAACTCAGACAACTAGAAAGGTCATTGTAACCTAGCGTGCTGAATATAAAGGCTATTTATTATTTATTTATTCTCATGATTCATTCTGCCATTTGCGAAGTTGACAGTCATGGAGTGGGTAGGTCAGGAAGCACAGCCTGATCTTGGATTACACACTTGGTTCTGTCTCTGAGCTTTTTGCTTGACCCTAGGCAGGTAGCTTCCCCTTCTGTAAGTCAAAGGTTCTCCCTTATTTTCATCCTCCCTCTGTGTTGTATTTGACTCATCTCATTCAGGGTTAAGTTGGCATTTGTGCCTAAAACTGTATGTCCACACTTGAGTGCAATTTAAGAGTTCCAGTGTGCAACTAGTTTCTGTACGTTATGTAAATGGAAAACATTCTTAAACGTGTTTTGAAGTATATTGTTGTGCACCAGCTTAATCTGAGAACTTCACTTATGTAGAATGTCTTACATGTGTAGCATTACAAAACCTCAATGAATTGTAACTTAACAGTATAGAACGGCAGACGGTGCAGTAAGCAATGAGATCCCATGGTGTGGGAGCACTCAAAACAGGGTGGAATTGTAAAACAGCTGTAAGGTATAAGAGGAAACCTCAGTCCCTTACTTCACTGCACTCTGAGGCCAAATTCTGGTCTGCATTCTCTCTTGTGTGTCCTTATTCAATCCAGTTTTTTAGTGGTAGACCTTAGAAGGGACTGACTGAATTTACATCATTCTCTCCCATTCTCCTGAGAATTGTCTACCATGTCCTTCTGTATTCTCATGCTATCAGATGATGCTTTTAAATGGCAGGTTAAACTGAAGTGTGGAAGGTGCTCAAGCTAATCAAACATTCTAAGGTATCTCTGCAGGTGTTTTATAGTTCTAGCATGGAAATGCTAAAGGTTTAATTGTCTGAGTGTGTAACAAGAACAGGAAATGACACAATGACAATTCATTTTCTCCAAGAATACAGTGGGAACACATTCTACAGCAACCTTAATTAGATTTTCAGTTTAACATTTTTAGCAAGGATGGGAAGTTCGTCTAATTGAATCTGTTCTAATTTCCATTCTCCTGTTTATAATTTTTTATTCTTCATTTTGGGACATATTTCAAGGCTCTCATTGTTCTCTGCTCATTGCAGTATGTGATGACAGATGGTAGGCAACATGCTGATGTGCAGGGTAGCTACACATAAGCCATAGGAGCTCCCACCTGTCTTCATTATAGTGAAACTGAACTGGATCCACTCCAGTAACTTTTGCCTTCCTTTTCCCCTCTCCTCCCAGTCTCCATCCACTTTAATCTGAGAATAAGTTTTTTCTGTATTAATAATGCCCAAAATGTTTATATGCTGTTGCATCAATCTACAGAAAGCCTAAAAGAAAAGTGGTTTTCAACCCTGAAGAGATAGAGGTCTAAATAATCATCTGCTTTTAGCATCCCTGCAGTTAGTATATACACTGTTATGATTTTTTTCCTTCTTTTTTTTTCCTGTCTGTGTCTGGATGATTGAGTACTGGTTAATGCAAAGGTGCCTTGTTTTGGCGTCTGTTGATCTACTAATTTCAAGTGTGAGTTCTCCCCTACAGGGTGATAGTGAAAATTTTTTTAAAAGAGGAAATATGTCAAAGTCACAATGTAAAAGTTTACACTTAAAGGTGATTTGTGGATTAGAGATGTATTTCTGTGGCACCTTGCTATCACAGTTTACCTGCAGGCTGTATATGTTCTTAGGTCCAAGCAAAGCTGGCATTAGATATATAGGTGGTAGCCAGCTCTGTACTGGCTAGAGGACTGCTATCTGAACTCCGAAGCAGATGTTTTGGCAGTTTCTGCAGGTCTGGATTGTATGACACTCTTACAGGAAATATCTCCTAGATGTTCTGTAATTCAGGCTGGTTTGGATGCTAAGCTCACAGGTTTCAAGAGTCCTTCTAGTTGAATTGATTCCAGAAACATTCAAGAAAGGAGCTTCTGCAAAAATTAGGCTTTGCGCCTGCCTATTTCTCAGAATATCTCATGGAGCAAATGTTTACCTTTTAGTTAGAAACCTATTTTAAGATATACATGTAGTCTACTTCAAGTTCTTTAGTATTCATGTTTCTTTTTAAAAGATTCCCGTAGTGTTATGCCAAATGGCCTTTTACAAGTTGCCATAACCTGCAAAGAAGGTAAAAATTAAGACCTGCAGATTCTCAAGAATCTTTTCCAAGTACAGAAGCTTGCTATATTGCTTAACTGAGCCGTGCTTGTGACTTTCAAGTCTTTAATTTATCATTAAAGAAAGAGGTTGCATTTCAAAGAGCAAATAGCAGATTTGTGCCCCTTGGGGTAGCTTGTGATTTGTGGTTTTTTGGGGAAAGATGGAGACAAAGGAATAACAACTGAACAAACTGAAAATAGAGTTGGTTTTTGGAATGGAAAATCAGTCCCCTCTGCAAACCAGGATCCACTGAATGAGTTACAAGGTGGGTTCCCCAAAGGTGAAATGGCCAGTGTTTGGTAATCTCCATTTAAATGTTTTTAAAAAGAAGGTTCAGGTTGTAGACTTACTGTTTTGGAGTGAGGTTAGTAGGTTATGGGCAGACTGTGTGTGACTTTAGGTAGCTTTGACAATGGCTCTGAAACTCCAGTAATCACTATTGCTCTACCCTAGGGTTTCTCCTTAGCTAGTTATGAAGGAAGAATTTCCAGTTGGGTAAGAAGAGTCTCAACTAATTGTTTTCTTCTTACCTTGCACACAATTGTCTTCATGGAGAGGAAATTAATGTAATTCCCAAAGGGCTCCTTGGGGTGCAATCACAGAATATGCCAAGTTAGAAGGGACCCACAAGGATCATCAAGTCCAGCTCCTGGCTCTGCACAGGACCATCCCCAAGAGTCACATCATGTGCCCAAGAGTATTGTCCAAATGCTTCTTGGACTCTCTCAGGCTCAGTGCTGTGACTGCTTCTTTGGGGAGCCTGTTCCAGTGCCCAACCACCTTCTGGGTGAAGAACCTTTTCTAATATCCAGCCTAATCCTCCCTTAAGACAACTTCAATGCAGACATTTGGAGTACTGAGACTCTTAAGAGCTGGCACAAATAGTTTACCATAAGCAAATATGTCTACACAAATGTGAAAAATAGACTCTATGTACAGATAAGTGCCTGTTATGATATGTAACCTAATAAAGTGCAAATCTTCAGGGAGCTGCAGTTGGACATAGGCTGAGCATCTGATCAGGAATGAGTTTCCTGCCAACTAGCAGCATTTGCTTAAAGGGTTTGTGGTTATTACATGTCCATCAGATGCTGCAGCCCTTCTCTGATAAGGAGCAAGGAGTAAAGAGAGAAGTCACAGTTCCAGGCTGTGTTTAAATTAATAAATTAAATAAATTTAGTATCTGAGCACTGAGTCAAAAACAAGTGTAAACCAATTGTAAAACAATTCAAGTGTAAACCAAGCTTGTTAGTATCCATTTGCTTTTGTCTACACCATTTATAGCTGGAGGGAGCTAACACAACAGGGCGTACTGTACTGTAGAGCAAGCCATAGACTAAAACTCAGCTCATAGAAGGTGGATTATGAAACCACTTTTCTGGAAACTTGAATATTAAACAGAAGGTAAGTGACTGAAGTGTAACGCTCAACACGCTGGGTTGAAAGACCACTAGTGAGTTGTGAATCAGTACCATCTTTATGCTTTGCACATTCATGTATGCACACAGAGGGCTAACAGTTGTGTTTTGTGAAATTTCAGTTGAAAGACCATTCTTAACAGTGTGTGAAGAAACATGCCAGCTTTTAATGGAGTTGCGAAATTATCTTTGATTACTGTATGCAAGTGTGATCTTACCGAAAGTGATACAGCCTTTCTAGTATGTTACTTGAATACCACTTTTAGTTCCATTTTTCCCTCTCATTTTTTTTTTTTTAATTTTCCTCAGGGAGAAGTGTCTTCTTCCTCTTCAACTGGCTCTGGAATCCAAGAGCATGAAGCTGGCCCAACAGGCTCTAGCAGGGATGCAGGTATGGCTTTAGAGTGGGGATGTGTTGACAGGCAGTGGATGTTAAGGAAAGCTAGACTTTTCTCTTGAAAAATAGGACAGAAAAGGTGTCTATCCTCATGTTGATCTAACAGTAATGTTCATGTTTCTGTAATGGTGTTCAGAGATTAGGATGCAAGTAAGGGCTGAAGCTAAAAATGTTTGCAGATAGGTAGGAGTTCCTGGATTTTAACTTTGAAATGTAGATGTACTCTTCCTTGTGTGTCCCTCTGCTAGTCTCAGTAAGCTTGCCACTGTTAAGCATCTTAAGAAACTAAGCTGAGTCAAGACTTGCTGTTTTCTTTGATTGGAAGTGAGTATAAGGATGTAAGTGGATCACTCAAATTCATTTAATCCAGCATATAAGGTGTCAGATATTTGGTTAGTCCGTGCCCCATATTGGGGCACATAATGGTTGTAGTGGTTCTAGAAGGCTCTGGCTAAGGAAAATGGTGGTTTTTTAAGGGTTTCAGTAATTATTGGCTTTTCCAGAAGATATATATCACCTTCTTGCAGCATAGTACTCTGGTCCCACTCTGACATCCTGTGCCCTGCGTTTCAGCTATATGACAAGTGGGGAATGGAGGTTGCTTTTAAAGTGAAAAGTGGGACTTAAATAAAAATATGTCTGTTGTTGTACTAGTGTGGGTATGCCTGTTAGAAGAGCTTTGCAAACTCATGATCAGCAAAGAATAGTGGAAGAATTACAAGTGACCCACTGTGTGTTGTAGTGTAACTTCCTGGGGAACACTCAGTGAGGATAAATTTCATCTTTTTACTCTTCTAAATTGCTACATGTAACACTTGAGTTCTGGAATTGCAGAGTTGCGAATTTTCAGTATGGTAACAGTTAAATAAGAATGTTACCTCCTATCTAGAGGTCTATAAAGGTAATCCAGGCAACAATACAGTCCTTCATCTGCATTTATGATACGTAAAGTTTTATGAAGGGCAGAAAAGCAAACCACACAACCGATGATAGGGAGATACGTTAAAAATAGGATAAAAGACAAAAATGAGATTAAGTACAACTTAAATTTACCCAGGTAGGTCACAGGATAGTGGAAGTTAGCAGGGACCTCTGGAAGTTATCTGGTTCAATTCTGCTGCTCAGATAGGGTCATCTAGAGCTGTTGCCCAAGTTTGTGTCCACATGGCTTTTGAATGTCTCCAGGGATGGAGACTCCACAACCTTGCTGAGCAGCCTGTGCTTGATCACCCTTACAGTAAATTGTTTTCTGATGTTTGGAGGAAACCTTCTGTGTTCCAGTTTGTGCCTGGGTTCTTGCCCTGTCACTGGGCACCACTGAGAATATCCTATTCTGTTCTCTTTGCAACCCCCCTTCAGATATTTATATATGGCGATTGTATCCTCTTTGAGCCTTCTCTTCTCCAGGCTAAATAGTTCCAGCTCTCAGCCTTTCCTCATAAGAGAGACGCTCCAGTTCCTTTGTCATCTTAGCAGCCCTTCCCTGGACTCTCTCCAATAGCTCCATATCTCCCATACTGAACTAAACATTCTCCTTTATATAGAAAACCCCATTATTTTCACTGCAGTTTGAGTTAAATCTCATGAGGCAGTACAGCGCTAAAACGCTTGATGTACTGATATGTGGGAAATTCTTTAAAACATTGTTGTAGGTTAACTGTGGCTGACAGTTCCAAACCCAGCCACTCACTCTCTCCCTTGCACGGAAATGGGAGAGAGAATCAAAAGGCAAAAAGTGAGAGAACTTGTGAGCTAAGATGAAGTTTAATAGGGAAAGCAAAGCTGCATGCACAAGCAAAAGCGTATATGGAATTCATTCACTTCTTCCCATGGACCAGCAGGTGTTCAGCCATCTCCAGGAAAGCAGGGCTCCATTAAGCCTCATAGTTACTTCATAAGACAAATGCCATAACTCTGAATGTCCCTGTCTTCTCCACTTCCTCCTTTTTTCCCCAGCTGTTGTTGCTGAGCATGGTGTCATAAGGTATGGGATATCCCTTTGGTCATGTTGGGGTCAGCTGTCCCAGCTGTATCCCCTGCCAAACTCTTCTGCATCCCCAGCCTACTTCCTGGGCAGCCAGTCTGAGAAACAGATACTGTCTAAGCTCTGCTCAGCAATAGCAAAACATGAGTGTGTTTTCAATGCTGTTTTGGTCACATATCCAGAACAGCACTCTGTGAGATCCTATGAGGAAAATTAACTATTCCAGCCAAAACCAGTACAAGCATAGAAAGTAAGAAGGAATGAACCAGTGAAATGTGCTACAGAGTTGAAGCTGAGAAGGAGCATCAGTACAAAAGTCATGCAAAATGTAAAGGGTGAAGTGGGCTGCACAAAGTCTGCACTGGGACACAGCAAGGTTGTGTTCCTGGGATCTAAGACAAGGTAGTTTTGCTCTGTCATGGGAGTTTCTAAGATGGGAACTGGCAAAAAACCTTGAGTGGGTATGTCTACTGCAGGATGCCTGCCACTATTGAGGCACCCATAAAGGTGGTTATAGACTAAATAGAAGAAGCATTTCTAGTAGAACTCCAAGGAAGTAGTGCCACTGACCATGCTGATAGTTGCTCAGATACTGGCTTTTTCAAGGCAAAGCAAATCTGATTGGTCTAAAATATTCAGTCAGAAGTTCATTCAGTCTGTACTGAACACACTCCTGTGTATGTTTGTGTTAGTCGCTTGCTCACAGTATCCTTCCTTTTAAGGACTTGATTGTATCCATTATTAACCAACTTCTGAATGATGCAAAACACATCTTGTTCATGATCGAAAGTGCCACTTTCACTGTGCTTTACCCTGTACCCTATTGGAATGATTGGGACAATAGGTGACTCTGTCACCTGCTGGGCAGGGGATCCGATAGCACTAGTTTGATGTCAGAATACTAGCCCGAGTGGGGCTTTTTGTTGTTTTAAGGTTTGAGGAGCTGCAAAGGTTCCACTCTCTCCCCACTTCTAAAATGTTGAGATGTTTTGCTGAGGGCATTACTTGCAGTAATTTATCTGTTACTGATGTCCACTTTCTTCTGGACACTGGTGAAATAGGATGGGGAAAGATGTACCGGAATGGCAACTGACTCAAAAGATGTTGACAAACCCCTGCTTCATGGCACGTCTCCCAGTTTTGCTGTATTTTTGCATTTTATATTATTGGCTCCATTTAAAATTTTTACGTAAAAACCTTACCACTGTAGTACCAAGCACTAATAAGTTAGTTACAGTAGTTTACGGAAGAATTGGGCAGAGGCAGTTTTGTCTCAACCTGTACATTGCCATTTTCTCTCTGCAGAAGCTGCTGTCTGATGAGAGGTTTATATCCGTGGAAACAGACTCAGATGAGAAACAGTTGCTTAATCAGATGCTGAATGCCGTCAAAGTGACTCCTTCACTCAATGAAGACCTGCAAGTTGAAGTGATGAAGGTTAGTGTTTCACACACATCAGTGGTTGCAACAGAGGTGGCATAAATGAATGCTGGGGTTAGCAAATAAATTAGCTGTTGCCGTGGAAATCTTCATTTTAGGACGGTATTTGATTCCCTTCTTCCTGGTGGCAGATGTTGGCTGGTTTCATTTCTACTTCATTTGTGTTTCCCTGATTAAATAGGAGATAGTTTATATTAAGAGTCAGTACACTGATGGTTCCAATTTTAGCAAACTGAAACAGGATAATCAATCTGTTCCATGGGAGTGCACAGATAAATGACTTGCAGATCTGTAAGTTTGTTATTGAGCTTTAGTGGTCATGAGGTGGGCTGTGCAGGCTTGTAATTTTGTATTCTGTGCGCGTAGGTGCTTTGTAATTTGTTAGCTATATTTTCTCTTTGTAAAATGCTAATGATGAAGCACAATTTGTTTAAGCACCAAAATGTCACTGGACCAGTGCATAAGGGAAATAATTGTTTTGTAAACTCAGGGAAAACTTCTATTTCTAGAAATGCTTTAGCATTCTCCTGTATGCCTGTTAGGAAGCTCAGCTGCCAGGAGGTATTGTTTTGGATTGGAGGTGATGTCAAATTTCCTACTCTGTCATTGGGTTGGTTGTATGACTTGCCAGTACTGTAATAAAAAAGTGACTTCCAAATACTGTAGTATTTGTGTGAAGCAAGGTGATGGTGGACAGTTCTCAGATGTTTGAGTGTAAACTTTGTACAGCAAGATTTGTTTGCTATAGCTGATCATCAGTTGAAAACCATTTTGGAATGAACCTGCTGGTCCTTTTTGCATGTTCATAATACCTAGAACTGAGTGATATATTTGGATCTACTCCTTGACCATTCTTTACTTCTAAGTACATAGACTAGCTGTTTTGTTTCTTGGATGTGACGTTTTTGTTCAAATGAATATATGTTATACACTCTGGAACTGCTCTCTACTAGTTGTACTCTTTAGCACTTGAGGTGACTACCTGGGTGGAATATGCCCACAGTGTCATAACATGCAGAAGGGTGAGCCTAGCAGCAGAAAAAAGGGAGTGTTTGAGTGGACTGTTACCTGTTTTATGGAGCTGGCTTCTGTGTACAGGTTTAACTATGACACCCAGATCTACATTCCTAACCCAGCATACCTCTTTCCTGCCTCTTTTGTCTCTGAAGTGGGAAAGGGGAAGAGTTAAGAATTAGCGGTACTGAACCAACAGGTCTCTTGCTATGCATTAATTTTTTGCAAGTTGCTTTTTTTACATTCTTGAGTGTTGCACATTCAATATCTGCATGCATACTGTTTATTTGAAAGTCCTGGCATACATCTGTCAGAAATTGCCCCTACACTAAGAATGTGAGCACTGTATTTTGCTACAGTTATGAGAACCTATCTTCTCAAATTGTCTTAATATGTGTAGTGGTTTGAACCAGGTTTTCCCCCTGAAACTAAGAAAGTGGTAACCCCCAGGGGGTGGTGACCCTTGGGGCTTGACCAATCAGTGCTCCTGCAAAATATAAACATATCTCTGGAGACCGAAAAGGAAGCAGTGGTTCTTGTGGGGAGAAGAAGAGGTGGCCATGTTGTAGAGGCCACGAGGAGAAGGGGCTCTGGCCCCTTGGGGGCCTCTGCCCCCCCAGCCCCCGGTTGGGGGGCTGCAGGGACTCAGAACTGGGCTGAGTGCCTGTGGCTAAGAGCTGGGAGAATTTCTCCCGGTAGGCAGCCTTGGGAGACGCTGGGAGCAGACGGAGCAGCAGTAGACACAGCAGCGTCCGAAGAGCAGTGGCAAAGAGCCAACTGATAAGGACCAAAAGGAGCAACACAAGCCGGTATGCAGCTAAGGCAGACACAGAGGTGTCTGAGGAGAAGGAAAAGCAGCAACAGGACAAGAGAACCAAGCCAGCAGCAGGAACAGAGTTTCGCGGGGTAAGAACTGGATAAACCAAAACCCCCAAACTCGCTAGAAACCCCTCCGAGAAAGAGGAGGGGGTGGTGGACTGAGAGGAGTCCTAAAGTGCAGTATGCACTGCTGAGAGGAGCTAGGAAGCTCATGGCCTCCTGAGAGATAAGCCAAGACGGCCGAAGGAATGTGTGTGTGTGGGGGGTGACCTTGGCCCCCCCTGCTCCAGCTTCAGAGAAGCTGGCAGCCATCTTTGAGGCAGAGCATGGGAGCTCTGCACAGGGGCTTGATTTCCCCTGAAGATACCAGACCGTCACGAAGACCCCGGTGCTTCGTGATATGACCATGGTGTAGCGGCCGTGTCTGGGGTTACGCAGCCCATGGAAAGACCCCTTGTTTAGAGACGGGGGCCGAGAGAGACTTGGAAACCTCCCTCGTGTGTGCTGGCAGAGAGCCAGCAACTGTTTCTGGTGGAAGAGAAGAAGAGAGCCTGCTGCCTAGAGAGGAAGACCTGCTGCTCACAGACTGGAAGGGGTCTTTTCTTCTTCTTCTCTCCTGGACTTTTATTTGGAGGGAGAAGAGATTTGGCCCATTGTAAATATTATTGTCATGGTAGAGATAGATATAGAATTAAGATTGTTTGTAATGTATTATAGTATTTATTCACGTGTATAGTCTTTGTAATATATTCCTTCCCCCCATATTGAGTCTCGTGTTTTTGTCTGGAAAACCCATCTCACATGGGGTTGAGATGTGGGTGGGGGGCTAGGAATCAGAATTGGATTTTGGGCCTGCTGAAACCATGACAATATGTGAGAAGCCAAAAAAAAAAAAGGAACCAAGAAACTCTCAAAACTTTAAACCACAGAAAACCCAAGCCAAAACATTGTATTTATGTACACTTCTTTTTTCCTTTTTTTTTTTTTTTTTTTTTTTTAAATTAGAAAAACCCATTCAGTTTCTGTTTGGGCACAAAAGAGAAAAGGGAACATAATTTCACTGAGTGAAATCTTGATGTACAAATATTTTCTGGCTAAAAGCACAATGAAATACATGCCTGGTAAAATCAGGCTACAACTTTACGTCCTGAGAACAAAGGAAAATTCTATTGACTTAAATATTTGAAGAAAGCAGAGGACCCAAACATATTGTAATCAGGACAATTAAAATTCAGAGACGGTGAATTTGAGCCTTGCCTGAAAGTCAAATCAACGGACATCTCTTTACATTGTAACCTGAAGGTTACAGATACCATTGCAACACTTGAAAATGTTGTAACTAATGCAGGCCTGATGAATGCTAAAGCCTTCGGGGAGTTTTCTAGCAGCTGGTCTCAGCAATGTGTTTATATCCTTGAATCTGCTAAAATGTGTCCTCAAGGCAGCATATGATTGTACATCAGGCTGTGTTATTCCATCTGGATGAGATTAAATATACCTTTATCTAGTGCAGATAGATATTAGACACTCCTGAGTGTGAGGAAGTTTGTGTGAAACTGGATCAGATGTGATACTGGCCTAGTTCTTTGCGACTTGCTGCACAGTTGTACCAATCTCACAGGTATTAAGAGTGCAACCATCAAAAGTTACACAGAAGACTTTATTAATGCAAAATCAATGTGAAAGTAGATGTGTAGTAGTACTTCACTGCAATTTGCTGGTATGTAAGCTCCTAAATCACTTAAATTTGTGTGTTTGGGTTTTTTTTTTTAATCCTATCCAGAATATCTCCTGTTATTCCCAGTAAGAGTACACCAGAAAGTCACACTTCACATACTATCCAAAACAAATATTTTTAATATTTATTTTAATGGTTTGTTGTCACCCACGTGTATTACAGATGGAGATGTGGAAGGATTTGATTGGCTGAGGAGAGCATTCTGTAAAGCTTTTTACATTCAAATTGCTGCAAGTTGGAATTGGCAGTGGAAGGGACAACACAGGAGAGAGGTGTAATGTGGGGGGAGATGGCAGGCCCATAGAACCCCCGAGCCCCCTGGAAGTAGAGGAGCTTGAAGTTTTGCAGGGTGTCAGGCCTTTCCCTTGAGAAAAGTAAGGCTAATCGCATGTTCCCATAGATACAGCCTTGGGTGTTAGGCAGTACAAGGCCAAAGCTGTTTGATAATGTGCAGGTGTTAAATTCCTGGGTGTTTTTGTGGGAATATGTTTATGTTGTGTGTGTGGGAAAGTAGAAGTTAGCAAGCTCAATAAAGGCTACCTGCTGCGCTGAGCAGGCAGACATCTCTTTGTCTCACCGTCCTAGTGTGTCTTGTGTGTCTTTCTTCCCCCTTCGGACCAAGACTTCACGACAGGTACCCTACGACAGTGTAAGTGCGATTAGTTGCCTTGCTTGACACACTTTTGGAACCTGATAAATATTATTATAAAGGGCCAGCAGTAGACAGCAATGGAATAGAGTAGTTGTAATGGTTGTTGTAAATAAATGGAGATAAGTGCTAGCTGGACCTCTTCTGGCACTGAGAAAAGCAAACAGTTTAGGCCACTATTGTAAAAGTGGAAGGGCACTGACTAATTTATGGCTGGGTACCAAATTCTCTTTATTTTTAAGGATGAGTATCATGGCATGCTTGACAGATTCCCAGACTGGAGGATCACAAAACCAGCATGCCAGCAGTGTTCAGACTTAAGGGCCAGGGCTGGGGACTGTGCTGGCGTGCATCCTGGGCAACCAGGGAAGATTTATACTACCCAAATGCAGTTGTCAAGAAGAACTCAAAGCCTTCCCCTCTCACAATATCTCTCTCCACTGTGTTAGGTGAGGTACCTCTTACCGTTTTTATGAACTTTGATTTAAAGTGGAATTTTACTTTTTGTAATAAGCAAATATTAAACTAAATTCCAGGTTAGGGACTGCTGTCAGTATCTCTAGTTCTTCTAAAATACCAGTTGTGGATTGCGCCTTTCTCTTAGAGGTTTCAAATAGAATAGTTATGTGGGGAAATTCTCCTCTCGGATTTCCAGAGTAGAAATGATACTGTGACATCCTTGTTTATATTTTTCTTGTAGGACACCCTTATTATTACTAAGCCCTGTGTGATTCTTATGTCAACAGCACTTTTATGCCCAAAAGAAGGGAGTGGTAT